AGGGTCAGGCGGCAGCAACACACCCGGCCTTGACCCTGCTTGCTTTGGTTTGCCAGACAACAAAATTGGGGTTGGTAATTTTTCTGGCAATCTTGTCTGTTTCAGTCTGTCCTAGAGTAAAACGCTCTGGTAATTATTTTCTTCCTGAACTGGTGGGTTGAGGAAGAGGCAAGTCCGTGAGCTAAAAGGTTTCCAGAATGGATACAGTTCTGCTGTTCTCACAATTTCTGTCTAGGCACAGCAGGACGTCAGAGGCCTGAGCTGTCCACACCGACACGTGGCGTGACTGGTGGACATCACTTCACAGAGGGACGGACTATGAGGGGATCCTGAGGTTTGTGAAGCAAGAACTCTGCAGAGCTTAGGGGGCAGTCCAGGGACAGCTCCGTCAGCGTTGTCAGTGCGGACAGCAGCGCCCCAAGGCCCCGCTCACTTGGTCCTGAAGTCGTCGGTGGCCAGCTTGGCGTTGTCCACCTCCACCACCAGCCGCGCGTTCTCAGCCTTGTTGCACAGGATCTGGGAGGCAGAAGTTGCTCAGTGAGGGTGGAAAACCAATTCGAGACCATCAGCTTCTCTCTCTTCCGTGAAGGGAAGGGAAAGGCTAGAACGATGAGAGCCCGGAAGCAAGGTCCCCGTCTCGCCCCGGAGAGGAGAATCGCACAGCTCCCCAGGCTGGGGGCGACGGCCAGGCCTCACCTTCTGCTGCAGCTCCTCGATGGTGCGGAAGTAGGACTGGTAGCTGGGGCACAGCGAGGGCTCCTGCTGCTGGCTGCGCTCCTGGATGCGCCGCTCCAGCTCGCAATTCTCCCGCTCCAGCTGCCGCACCTTCTCCAGGTAGCTGCCCAGCCGGTCGTTCAGGAACTGCATGGTCTCCTTCTCGCTGCCGTTGAAGGAGCCCTCGCAGAACCAGTTGCAGCTGCCCACGTTGGCGGGGATGTTGCAGGCCCCGGGCAGGGTGCAGCCGTGGCAGCTGGGGGGCACGCAGGGCCGGGAGGCGCAGCTGGTGCGGCAGCTCGGGGCGGGCGGGCAGCAGTTGTAGGGCATGGTGCCGAGGGAGCGAGGTGCCGGGCTGAAGACGGATCCAAGTTCTCCAAGCCAGAGGTGTGGGGCTCCTTCCTCGGGCAGCTTTTATACCCCATCTGCGGAGGGTGTGGACCTGTCCAGCAACCCTTTTTTGGCTCATTTGGTGTTGGTCAAAGCCCTACCCTCCGTTTGTTATGTGTTTCCTCCACAGAGTCCCTCGCCTCATAAAAGGCTTTGCCAGGGCTTCTCCCAAAGCCAGGACTCCTTGCAGTTCGTGTCATGAAGTCAGAGCTTGGTGGTGTGGCTTCAAAGCCCTGCACTCATGAAAGACCCGGCCCTCATTAGTGGGGCGTGGCAGGTGCGGGACAGGCCGGCTGCTCTGTCTCCTGGCAGGAGAGCCCTGATGCTTGGCCAACCTCGCCTCTCCTGGATACAATGGAAAAGCAGAGGTCTTTCCCAGGTATCTTTTCCTAGGTCCAATTTCCAAATGGTTCTCCAAAAGCAAGAGATCCCTCTGGGACAATTCCAGCAACCTGGCCCTCGGTGGCCCTGTGTCCCTGGCATATCCAGGATGACGTCCATTGCCCAATAGCAGCTGGGCACTAGGGCCATGGCTCAGCCAGGCTGGTGCTTGTGACAGGAGCAGAAGGTGGGCTGTGCTCTGGTGCAGAGGCCTGAGCTTGTGTGAGGACAAATTCCAGTGATCTTAGCAATGCCTCACTGCTACCCTTCGAGACAAACGACACAACTCCTGCCTTACAGGTGACAAGGCAAGGCATGGGGGGCAGGGCATAGTAAGTCATGATGCTCTATTCCAACACAGCTCTTTCCATCAGGCGGCACTGCCAGAAACTACGTGGTCCCTCCTCTCCTCTCTGAGCTCCCATTCACCCCAAGAGCTGGACCTCACCATGGCTTACAGATCCGTCCATCTGTCTGAGTCACCCGGAGGCCAAGGCAGGCTGACCTCATCTCGGGCCTCATTTGAGTGGGCACGAGTTCATTGGGCAGAGAGATGCGCAGGAGATGACAATCTGAGGCAGGAGGTCACAGGCCACAAATGAGGGGGTCACGTGTTGGGAACAGGGGGTTGCAGGAGTGGATTTGCGCTGGGACAGGGAGGCTGACAAGCAGAGAGAAAAATGGGAGCCACAGGTCTGGGGGCGCTGCTGTGTGCCTAGACAGGGCCCTCAGTGGTCCGTGTGGCTGGGAGGGCGGGGCGTGAAAGGGAGCACTAGGACATGCAGCTGCTAGGGAGGTCACAGCCCAGTGGTGACAAAGCTGAGGGTTCGGTGCTCTGGGCCACGTGCCCTTCTGGGCCCAGTGTGTGAGCCACAAGCTGGCTTACGAACAGTTTCAGCAAACCTTTGTCAGCTTTACAAACACGAAGGAAAGGCTAAGCGTGGAGAGGCCAGCGAGGAGCTGTAACGGCAGACCAGGCAAGCGGGGACAAGGGGTCCAGAGGAGTTCGCCTGGTTTCAGTGCCGGTGCAAGTTAGAGACACGGACGGAGTGAGACAGGACAGAGCGGTGTGGGCTGAGGACCGCACCTCGGGGAACTGAAGAAAGGGACAACAGTGAGAAACGGGCACCAGAACGAGTCCTCAGGTCCCAGCAGGGCAGGAGGAGGAGACCTGGAATAGCGGGTGGTGTCAGAACCGCCCCTCCCAGCCGAGGAGTCGCACGTGATCGGGGCCTTGGACAGGGCTCCTGCCCACCAGGCCCCTCGGGTCCGTGCCCCACTGTGTAGAACACTCGCGTCCCACAGAAATGCCACGGGAGCTCCCTGCACGGGGATTTCAGGCGCCCCGAGGTGAGGTGTCCGTGACCTTCATCAATGAGTACTGAAGTGACGCACCCACCCCCTGGGCACCCAGTTCGAAGCCTGTGAGCTCGGGTGCTAGGAATCCTACTTTCGTAACTGGAGCGTGAGTAGAGCAGTTTACAGATGCGAGCTTGTTTGAACTGGATGATTCACAACAGTTTACTTTAGGAACAATTATCCCAGAAGCACAAGCACGATGAGCTGCCTATGCCTGTGACACTTGTGTTTTGTTGCAGGACATAAAGTGTGTCTCACTGGATGTCTTCGAGGGAGAGGAGTGAGGATGAAGTCCCGAGCCGGTGTGTGCTGGGGGCGGGGTGTCACTGGCCTGACAGGAGGTGACCCTGGGGCTCAGAGGGGTGCTCCCCAGCAGACCCCAGCTGCTCAGAGAGGGCTTCAGTGAAAAGCCAGATCGCTTTGTGCTTTGCACTGTGTCCTCTCTCCTCCTCTCCGCCTCCCGGAGGGAAAGCTCGGGCTCAGCCTGAAGTTGTGTCCACTCGGGTGCACGTCACCGTCCAGCCCAACTCTGCAGATCCCAGCCGTGAGCCCGGCCTCATCTCCATGCTACAGAAATGAATAAGTTTTACAGTGTGCCCTGCCGTTAACCAGGGGCCGAAACCAAAGACAGGAAGGAAAAGGTACCTACACAGGAAAAGGAAATCTTGTATCCACAGGCCCATCCTGTTGAAGAAGAATCAAGGACTCGGGTGGGAATTATGAGTCCAGCAGGACAAGGTTCCCTTCCCTGAGCTCAGTTCTACACCAATGTTACAGTCACAGCCCAGGGATTTGGAGCAACAGAGATGCAATTATATCCGGTAGACACGGAATTTCCATGCGGTCGGTTCAGAGCAACTTAGAATAACAATTGGTTAAACAATGCTGATCTTATTCAAAAGCAATACATTTGCCCCCAAAGAAGTACACAAGTAGTCATAAAAAAATGTGAAATTGTGTTATTTCAGCCATGACCACAACTGAGAGATTTGAAAGAACCACACTACAGTGATGACACCGATGCTTTTGCAGGTCAAGAATAGGAAAGGTTTTGTTGTTTTTTGTTTTTCCCCTTTCTCTTTTTTTTTTTAATTCATTCCAAATATTTTTGAAGAAGTGTATTCTACACAAAAACAGAATAAAACTTACATTTAAAATTGCAGAAGGAAATGCTGGCAGTGCTTCTAAAGCAGTAATGGGCTGTGCGAAGTTGCCCCCTCGGGCTGCTGTTCCTCTGTAATCGCTGCTCTGCCCTCGGCTCTTTCCCCGGGGTGGGGAAGCCCGTGCTCGGGTTGGAACTCACAGTGGTGTGGTAACTGCTGACTTTGCCGAGTCCCAAGATGAGCGAGGAAGACGTGGAGAAAATCCCAGCTGCCTTTAGCTCGGGAGTCGACTGGCATGGACATGAGGTGCGGATGACAGGAAAGCCACACCTGGAGAAGTCTGTTCGTCCACCCTCCGAGGGGCCCGGAGTTAGGCTGCCTCACACTGAGCTCCGTCCTCTCCCCTCATTTTACAAATAGAATATCTTCCAGCCCACCAGGGAGGTGACTGCCAAGCTCTCAGGGAGAGTTCATGGCAGAGTCTCAACTGGAAAAGAAGAAATTGGGTGAGAGATGAAGGGCCGGGGACACGGTCTTCAGTCTTTATGTGAGAATCGGAGCAGGGACAACTGAACAATGTAGGGCCCCCTAGAGGCGGCCCCCTTAGGGGCAGGCGGGCTGGAAAACTAAAGGATGCTCCTTGTCACAGGAAGATTCTTTTCAGCTGAACTACCTCTTGCTGGACTCGAAATGTCAAATAGCAAATTCCCTTCGAAATCACTGAATTACTGTTAACCTGCGTATCACCAAGTCTGGGGGTTGAATCTGTGCTACTCACACAATTAGAGAATCCCCATGCTAATCAATTAATAATGCACACAAGGAGAGAACTCATTCATGGTCAGCAAGGAAGACGAGACACAAGAAACAGAAGAGTAAAGCCAAAAGCCTTAAATAATATGTTCAAAGAGATTATTAGACAAAATTAATTAGAACCCTCAGTAATGTGGCCGTGCTGCAAAAAGAAGTCCTGTTTCTTTTAAATCACACAGAAATTCTATAAGTGAAAAATATAACTTAAAATGTAAATTTTAAAAGTAGGTCACTTGAACCTTCTGTAGCTCAAGATTTTCTGTGACGTCGATTGTATTGCTCAAGCTGCTGAATTTCCTCTCGGCTTCTACTGAACTAAGACTGGGTCCTGGCTTCCATTACCCTACTGGATGCTTTTAGATTGCTCTCCTGCTGATGAAGTCACAGCAGTTATTGTCATACGTCATTGTCATGTGTTATTGTCGTATTATCTGTTCCACAGGGCCTCGTGTGTGTGTGTGTGTGTGTGTTGGGGTTTTATTTGGTTATTTTCTTCATCAAATGACAAGGCTACTTTTTTTACTTTTTTGGTTTTTTGAGGCAGGGTCTCACTATGTAGCCCAGGCTGACCTCAAACTCACAGTGATCCTCCTGCCTCAGCCTCCCCAGTGCTAAGATTACAGGAATGAACCACCATACAGTACAACTCTACTTTTACAAAGTTAACATCTCTTAATAGCTTTTTGGCAGGGTGTTGATTATTTTGTTGGTTTCCTGATGGAATAATGCATTTATTCATTTCTATTAAGGTACAGAATATACATTTCTGTTTCATCACTCACCTTTTATATATTCAATCACTTTCTCTGTATTAAATCACTACCTTTAATAACTGAAGTATTCCTCTCATAAATCCAATCATTGCTCTCTCTTCTACAACCTACTGGTGAGATAAATAAGAGCTTAGTTGAAAAGTTTTAAGATAGGCAAAGGATCCGAGTGGACATTTCCCCAGAGAAGATTATATAAATAGCCAAAAAGTACGTGAAGAAGTCAACGTTACTAATCAAAAGATATACCACTCACATGCATAAGGATGGGCACAATTTTTCTTTTCTTTTTTACAAAACAGAATGACACATGCGTATGTAAGGATGTGTACAAATTGGGACCCTTATATATGGTCAGTGACTATGTCAAATGGCACTACCACTACGGGAAATAGTTTGGCAGTTACTCAAAATTTTAAGCATAGTTATTACCTAGCAATTTCACTCCTAGGTGTATACAGAAAATAACACAACCAATGATTCATCCACAGTAAAACTTAAACATAAATGTTCATAGCAGCATTATTCTCATAACCCAAAGGACAGAACGACCCAAATGTCCAGTGACCACAGTGCATGCCACCTGTAACGATGTGGATGAGCTTTGATACGTTAGGCCTTTTGAGATAAAGCCAGTCCTACAATACCGCATGGCGTACAATCCGCCCACGAGAGAGGTCCAAACTAGGTAGACCCGCAATGTACTTGCCCAGGTCCGAGCCATTGAGAGAATGGAAAGGGACGACTAATGACTACAAGGGGGGTGATGGAACGATCTAAACCTGGCTGTAGCTGCAAGAATATTCAGACTCTCCGGGCTGGGTGGCACATGCCCTATTCCCAGTATGCTAGGAGGCTCAGAGAGGAGAGTCGCAAGGTTGAGCGCAGCCTGGGCAAATCAGCCAGGCCCTGTCTCAAAATGCAAAATAAAAAAAGGGCTGGGGATGGAGCCCAATGCTCCAGGGCTTCATTCCCAGCGCTACAGAAACATTTTCAAAACCATTTAAATTAATACTTAATGCAGGTCAGTTTTAGATATATGCATGATATATGTATGGTATGTTAGTTATATGTCAGTGGAGCTCTGTTTTAATGAGGAATTCAGGAGAGGATGAAGAGACTAACACAGAAGTAATATTCAAAAAATAAAAATACACAACAGACTCTCGAGTTGCAAGTGACTTGACTTGCCAACCACTTGGGTTACAACTGGAATTTTAGTTTTAACTTACAAAGTTTTGAGTTACAACCTGAATGCCAGATGCTTGTGCTTCCAGATGGTCTCAGACACAGATTTAGCCCTTAAAGAGTTCTGGAAGGAACATGACAGCATCCTCTCCTGTGTGGGGTTCACTGAGGAATCCTGGGCCAGTGTCTCTCTAGTATGCTGAGATCCACCTGTGTACAGGAGAGATTTTGAAGGCTGTGTAGAGGGGCCTTAGCCTTCATTGGCCAACCTGAGTTACAACCTGACCTTGGGCATGAACTGAGTTTGTAAGTCAAGGGTCCACTGTGATGGCTGAGAATTTTCTGCACTAAGGAAACACATACATTCCAAAATCATGCAAGTCCCAAGTGGGGAAGCTGAGCCCAGCCCACTGCCTGTGTCAGGAGTTCATTGGCAGTAAGCTTTCAGCACCAACGGAATCCGAAAGATGACAGTCTAACATCCTCACGATGCCAAGGGAAGATGGCCGTCAACCTAGAATCCTACACCAAAGAAATCATCTATTCAAAGCGGCTGCTAGCAAAAGACATTTTCAGACAATGGCTAAGAATTTTGCTACTTGAAGCTGTTATAATAATGATCAAAGAATAGATATTGGTACACAGGAAATTATGACCAGCAAGAAAAGAAAGTCAAGGAAACATTTTGTAAGCAAATAAACTCCTATACATGTAAATGACTCTAAATAATGATAATAGTACCAACAGGGACTACATTTTGGAGCATAAAACTGAGATAGAACTTATTGAAGAATAAAAATACAAAATTCCATGAGCTTTGTTTATATGCAAGAAAAGAGAGATGAGTTATAATTAGTGTTGTGTCAAATCAAATGTGCACACTCAGGAGTTAAGAACAAATATTAAAAGGTGGTGAACATGGGGATAAAGAAAAACACCAATAGATGTCAGGAAATGCAGGAACAATAAATAAAAGAATCATGCTTCATAGGAAGCATAAATAAGATTTTTAAAAAGTAATCCAAAATGCCACAATAAAATTAAATGTAATTAGACTGAGCTCAGTTTTCCTCATCAGACACATTGCACCATGACCACTCTATCAAAATCTCTCTGTCAGCTGTGCTGGTGGTGCACACCTGTAATCCCAGCACTCAGGAGGCTGAGGCAGGAGGATTGCCATGAGTTTGAGGCCAGCTTGGACTACATAATGAGTTCAAGGCCAGCCTGTACTACATAATGAAACCCTGT